AAAAAAGAGAAAGGAAAATAAAAACAAGGTATAGAAAAATAGGAGAAAAGAAATAGAAAGAACAAACTACAATAAACAGATGGACTTCTGGCGAGTAGGCAGACACGCTACACAGACCCTCTACAACAAAGATATGAGAGACCAAATGAAGCAGATACAGATGATAATCTTGGGACCCTGAACTTCTGAGGAAAGGATAATGAAGTGGACTGCATGCTTACTAGGAGAAGAAGCAGAACAGGGGCAGTGAGAAAAGACGACAGACTAGTGAACTGTTGGCCAGCTAAATCCAGCAGCGTCATCTTGTCTTTTTGTAAATGGTTTTGGAGGCAAACAATGACCTGGCAGCACAGGTATTGACTGGTGACTGGCAGTGAGAAAGATGTAATTCTTTCTTTCTCCTCACACTCTCCTGGTGACCAGATGCATTGCCAGACTCCACCCCCATCCACCCCAGTCCAGCCCCTGCTCCCCTACAGTTGCGAGCTGCTCCTTTGTGAATTGTGTACTAGCTGCACTTCCCTGGTACCTGGATTCGTGTTGAGCTCTTCTTCAGACCTGCAGAGTCCTAGCCAGCCCTAGACTAATGGGAACTCTCATAACCTACCGCCATGCCCCTGGCTGCCTTCTGGGCCTGAAAGACCCTGACTTCCACTCTCCTTGGGGGATGCATGAACCATTTCCAGTTTGGGTTCCTGGAACATAGACAACACATAAGCCCATAAGAACTGCATCTAGGGCCAGGAACACCATTGTCTCACTCGTCCCCAACCCATCATGTGATCTTGCTTCTCCTTTCTGGTTCCAATATCTCCTCTGGTTTTGTTCCTTTCATCATTTTTGTTTATTTATTCTTTCATCTCCATCTATTCTCTTTCCCTTTCCCTGATAGCAGCCACAAGAGAACTGTATACACACTTCCATTCTCTACCACACCCACAGACAGACAGGTGGTGAGTGTTTAAGAGCACACCAACAATCATCAATTAAATACAAATACAAGGTGACAATATTTGGCAGACAACAAATAGTTTCAATTAACATGAAGAAACAAAACAATACGCAGATTCAGAAAATGTTTCTGAGGAAGAAAATATATTGGAGCTACTTGATAAAGAATTCAAAAGAGTGGTATTTAGGTACCTTCAATAGATTGATGGAAAGATCAAGGAAAGCTGCCCAAAATCACTAAGTTTTACTTGTTCCATGGACTGGGAAGCTAACCACTCTGTCACATGCTTTGGTTCTAGGTCCTCCTACTGCTAGTCCTCTGGTATCACAGCTTTCTGTCCCTGGGTTGAGGAGGTTCAATGTGCAAGATCTTAGGGCCCAAAGAGCACATTTCACTCCTGGCTCTTCTTTGATGGTAGTGAGATCACAATTCCTGCTTCTGAGATGGGTCATTTAATACCTGTTAACGCTATTACCCCTTCACAATTGAATCCTATAATCTTGTCAGCATCTTCTCCCAACTTCTCTTATCCAGACCCATCAGGACAAAAATGTTGTTTGATGGGAGTTACAAAGAACATGGCTAGAAGAGACATTACATGATTCACTGAGCAACATACCACTCAGTGGTCCTAGACATTGATCCTTTCATAATTCAAGGATTTACTTCTCACCATAAGATTTTAACTGAGCACACCATGAAAGCTTATAAGCCAGCCACTGCCTACCTTTATATCCTCCCATTTTAGATATCGAATCTCTAAACTGCTCATCCCTGCAAACCCAGTATTCTGGAGATAAGCATGTTTCTTGATCAGAAAAATCTTCTGTTCTGGTTGAAACAAGCAAAGTCTAATCCAGAGTAAGCCAGCAAAATGCAGCAATTTACTCTCACGCCAAGGCTATAACCTTTTTCTTCATTTGGTTAGGTTCTTGTTAATTCATCTCTAGTTATCTTATCTAGGTAAAATGGGTACCAACTGCAAGCTTGGGAGTCCACACAGACCTCTCTGCACCAGAAGGTATCCAGATTGGTAAAGAAGAAGCAAATCTCTCTATTTACAAATGATCTGATCCTATGCAAAGAAAATATAAAGACCCAGCAAATGATTGGAACTCATTGATAGATTCAGTGGCAGGGCACAAGATCAATGTATAAAAATCAGTCAGATTCCATTACACTAATAATAAAACTCTGAAGAAGGTATCTGGAAAACATTGCCAATTGTAAGAGTCACCCAAATGATGAAATGCTGAGAAATAAGTCTAACTAGGGAAACAAAGAAAACTATGAAACACTACAGGAAATCAAAATAGCTTTACAAAAATGGAAAAATATATCATACTCATGGATACGAAGACAACATTGTGAAAATACTCAAAGTGACCACCACTTGTCTGTTGGTTTGTCATACTGTGGTGGCTTGCATGTTGCTGTGATGCTGGAAGCTATGCCCCAGGTAGTTTAAATACCAGCAGGGCTACCCATGGTGGACAAGTTTCAGGTGAGCTTCCAAAAAATGACTAGGAAGGAGGAGAGATGGACTACTTCTGAATATTTAGTCACTGAAAACCTTATGAGTAGCAGTGGCACAGTGTCAGTACCAGAATATTGTCAGATATAGTGACAGAACATGAGTCCCTCAGGTTGGAAGGCACTCAAAATATGCTTGGGGAAGAGTTGCCTCCTCAAAGTAGAGATTACTGTGATTACATGAATGGAGTAAAGACTTCGGGACCTTCATTTGCTTATGAAGAGAAATGGCTGTAAACATCCATTAATAATCAGAACATGGAATGTATGAAGTATGACTGTAGGAAATTGGAAATTGTCAAAAATGAAATATAACATATAAACATGGATATCTCAAGCATTAGCTGAAATGGACTGGTATTGGCCATTTTGAATCTGACAATCACATGATTTACTATACCAGGAATGACAAACTGAAGAGGAATGGCATCACATTCATCATCAAAATGAACATATCAAGATCTGTCTTGAAGTACAATGCTGTCTGTGATAGGATAATATCTATAGGTCTACAAGGAAGATCAGTTAATACCGCTATCATTAAAATTTATGCACCAACCACCTGGAAGCGTTGTAGAAAATGGTCCACCATGAGTGACCCTGCTAGTATTTAAAATATTAGAAACATATCTTCCAGCATCCAGCAACACCACATGAGCCGCCACATAAACTATTAGACAGGTAGTAGCAATCTGGGTTACTGACCCCGTTATTCTATACAAGGTGTTGTTTGAATGAGTTCTCTGGGGTGTGCTAATGATGGATTCATCTCAGCTGGAGTCTTTGTCAGGGGCTAGGGCAAGTTAGCCGTCCTGTGGAGGGAAGAAGTTTTCCGGGGCAGGACACAGCCCCATTGACCTCCATTCTTGGAGGAGGCAGATCCTAGGATTGAGCATGAGGACTGGGAGCTGGCACTCACATTGCTGCGAGGGAATCTCCCCAATCTATGCTGACCCCTTACTTACTTGCCACCATCTTCCAGGTGGACTTTCCCAATATTCCTCTCCTGTTGGTTCAGCATCCCCTTATTATTAATTCTATTAGTGAGTCGGCCAGGCTTGGTTTTTGGTAAGTTAACTGGGAAAAGCTGCAAATTGGTTCTGCTTTGATCTCTATTTTCTTGACTCCTAGCCTCTCAAAGAGGTTCCAAAAGCCAGTTTTGAGATTTAGGTAGTTCAATGACAACTTTGTTTCAGGCTGTCCTGCCTTTTCCTTCTCTTGGGTAAAAGGGTTTCTTGAAGATAAGGAACAGGCACCATGATTAAAAGGGGGTTGAATAAGATGCATTAGTTACACATTAGCAAAATTTTTATCCCAGCAACTGGGCCATAGTTGAACATGCTTTCTTTCTTCTTTGTTCTCCCACTCTCCATCCCAACTGCTAGGAAAAGGTGCATCTTTCTAGAGGTTTCTATCAAATTCAAACAGCCAGCCAGCTGCCAAGGGTCGGTGTCCTTCTGTTCCCTTGTAATCTTGACCCTTTTGCCAGAATTGTGCAGCTTCAGCCTTCTGAATCTATGTGTGCTGGGTTCTGGGTGGTTGGATGGGGTCTTGAGAGGAAGCAGCCCTGAAGTGTCCCCATGGGATCTGCTCTTACCCTGTGCCTAGAGTAGTAAGTAGTGGCCAGAGACGCTGGCTGGGTTCTACCCACTCTATCTCTAGATCTTTCCATCTGCTCCTTCCTGAGTTCTAACCTTGGCACTATCATTTACAAATGACCTTGCACAATTCTAATTGTCCATTGGGACTGATGCTGTGGTGGAGTCCCATGCACCTCACTCTCTCAGATTCAATTCATTCATTTACAACACTTGGCTAGAGATGGAGAGAGAGAGACATCTACGATCCCACTCAGAGGTGAAGCTTAAAAGGGAAGAAGGGGACCAGGCCATCAAAGAGGACATGCTCTTCCATCTTCTTGGTTTAATTCAGTCATTCCTTTAACAAATACTTATCGACCTCCTACTGGTGTAAGTGACAGGGGTACAGGGTTGCATAAAACAGACAAAACTTCCTACATTTATGAAGTTCACATCCTAAGGAGAACTAATCTGTGTACTTACAGTTGCAATTTATATTTATCATAAAGCAGAATGCCAAAGACAAGGTGATGCATGGGTAAAGAAATGGCCAACCGTCCTCTCTTCAGTTGTTGTAGCTCCTGCAATAGCTGCATGATTTAGGAGACAATCAAGACCAATTTTTACAATAAGTGAACTTTACCTTCTGCATTCAATTTACAGCCCCTGTCAGGTCTACCACCCATGTGTATACATGTGTGTGAGTGAGTGTGGTGTAAATGAACACATTCAATGGAGTATCAGAGAAAGGATGTGGGCACTAATCAGTGACATCAGCCACAGCCAAGGATACCACCAGGTAACACTTGGAGCTTTATTAATGGCCACTCTCCCAGAACCTGCACTGCCCCTCCCAGGAAACCTAACAAAGTATCTCCTTTTCCATGGGGTGTGTATCAGAACACCTAGGCAGAGCAGAGAAGGGCCATGGAGGGTCAGCTACAGTCCACACCGGCATCCTCATTGTGATTGCAGTTATGTGTGCCCCAGGAATTCTTCTCGCAATCCCACAAATTGGCTTCTGAGCCTCTACAGTCAACATTATCCAGCCATATCTTCCCGCTGCCTGGATGTGGAGAAAGCAAAGAGGGAGAGGAGACTACAGTTAGAGTCAAAGTAGAACAGGAAACTCCCATTGGGGTAGGATTGGCAATTTCTCCCATATTCATTTGGGCCTATGGTGCTTCTGACAGCTTGTCTATGATAATGTCATTGTTAGCTGCTGCCAAATTTTGTCATTGTTAGCTTGCTTCCCTTCTGTTTTCTATCGTTTGGCAAAAGTTTCATCCAATTTTTTTTTTTTTTTAATTTAAAGTTTTTATTGTGGATTGAGTGAAAGTTTACAGGGCACATCATCAGTTTCACATTCAACAATTCATATAAACTTGTTTCATTACATTGATTATAATCCCCTCCATATACCATCAGTTAAAAGTATTTCTCTTTATCCACTTTAGCTTTTTTTTTCAAAAAACACACAAACAAAAAACCCACTCCGAAATATATATTAAATTACATCTCCAAAGGGCACATTCTGCAAGTCTGCTCCTGGCCACCA